CGCCGGACCATCTCCCCCTCTATTCAAAATCCTCTCCGCCGTCGCCGGACCATCTCCCGCCTCGGCGCCGCCTCCTTCGGCTTCGCCGCGTCCTCGCCGACCCCGTCCACCCCTCCGTTTCGCTCGCCGACCGCCGGAACGCCGTCGACCCCATCGACCCGAGCTGCGCCGCCGCCTTCCTCCGCTCCGGTCGCCGTTTCCGTCATCGCCGTCGACTCGGGGTGAGCCGTGGACCGCCGCGTCGTTTCCCCCTTTCCCTCCCCTCTCTCGGCCGCTGCTCCGCCGTGCCGGTGGTCGCCAGCGGCGACCATCGGGGCGCGGGCGCTGCCTCCCGCCGGCCGCGCCGCCGTGGCTGCCTTCGGGCGCACCGAGCGGCTGCCGCGTGGGGCCCGGCCGTCAGCCGCCCGCGCCCTCGGGTGCGGCTGACGCGTGGGGCCCACGGCGCCGGTCGGTGTGAGCCGCGTGCACCCAGTCCACCGTGGACCGTGAGGCTGCCGCGTGGGCCCCACTCCCGTGGACCCGGTCCGCGCGCCCCTCCCCTCGGCTGACGCAATAAATTCAATTTTAAATTAAAATTTAAATGAAGAAATTCGCAAATATTCATTTAAAGAGCATATAAACTTCAAATGGCTATAACTTGGCCATTTGAACTCGGAATTGGACCGTTCAAGTCTCTAATTTTTCCTTAAGAAGTCAAGAACCCATTTTTGTGCTTTGTTCCTACTTGTTATATGGAGTTTATTAGAGTAAAAGCCTTTTCTTTTCCGTTGGTCGTGTAGACACTGCAGCTTCGGAGGATCCGCTCTTCGTGGAAGTTGAAGCCGGCGTTTAGGAAAGCGAGCAAGGCAAGTCACATCATTCTTTGAACATATTGGATCCCATTTTGTGAAATTACTTTGATTTAAATTATTGCATTATCGCTTTATTTAAATTCCCGCGTTATCACTGTTTTATTTAGCCGTGCCTATTTACCTTTGTTATGACCTTATTATTGTTATTGTTATTATTTCTTTGTTCACCCTAGAATAAACAAAACCCCAACTAGTGGACACTCTACCTGTGGTATCACTAGTATGATTTTAGGTAGATGCTTCGCTGATTAATTAGGCAACATTAGGTGGTTTTATAACTCTAGACTGTGGTAATATTCATATCACTTGGATACTATGGAATTGTTGGATTGTTGCGGAATTGGATTCACACCTCCCCCTCTATTCAAAATCCTCAAAATGGTTTTAGGCTGGGCTCGTGGTGCATGGTTTTGATAGTAGCACCTCGGCCATATAAGGATCGGTCTTCGGGCCTCTGTTGCAAAGCACTACCGTACTTCCACATGTCTAGTGGGTAAGGCTTAGTTTGTGGCTCAGTCTGGTTATAAACAAAAGTACACGGATGGAGATGGACGAAGTCGGGGGTTCGATGGACATCTCTAGGACAAATGAAGGCTACACGAGCTGCGGCCCGGTAGTCGAGATGTCATGGCACAGGGCGGGTGTCCTGCTGCTAGGGGGCTCAATCCTGCCTGCCTGTCCCGGGGGTTCCGGCCGTAGGTGGGGTTGGGTCGGTACTCTTGTCTATGGCTAGGATGGGTTGGAAACTATGTCACGTCTTCCGTTCGTATACCGTGGTGGTATGTGGCACGTGGTTACACGTGAGGAAGATGTGTCTTGTGGGTAAAGATGTACACCTCTGATCAGAGTATAATCTATTCGAATAGCCGCGCCCTCGGTTATGGGCAAGCCGAGCAATGTACCCAAGTTAGTGTTTTAATTCTTAAAACTTGCTTAACAACTAAAATGAGGAATGGTTGGCCTTTGTTGGCTTGGGACGAGCTGGGACCCAGGGTCGGGTTGCCAGTTCGGTCTGAATCATCATAGGCCTTGGGTTAAGGCAGGTTCGTGTGGGTTCACGGCCTTGATTAATAATATTGTATAGCTCTAGAATCGTGTTTACAAAATAGCTTTGAGCAACTAAGTGTCTTTTAATGCTATTTACTGCAACTCCTAACCCCTATACTATAACTCCGTTGTACTCCTTTACATTTATGCTGCACTTGTGGGTGTGTCTTGTTGAGTATGGTGGTTGTACTCAGTCTTGCTCAATTTTTCCCAAACCCAGAAGAGGAGCCCCTGGAAGATGAAGGCTTTGGTGTCTAGCTCGTGCCTGCCGTCAAGCGCCTGTGGTCGTCGCCTTAGTCTTCCGCTGTTTTTCGTTGTCTTTGTGTGTGCTGGGCCTTCGTTGCCCGTGTAATAATTATCTATTTACGCTTCCGCTTGTTAAACTCTGAGTTGTATCAACTTTTGGTGTACCTTGCCTCCTGGGACAAGGAATAATACACGCACGTAAGGAACGCCCGTGGGGTTATTTCCGGTCGTGACAGACGGGGAGAGAGGGCGACGAGTGGCGGAAACGGAGGTGGGGAGCTCGGGGAGGGTTTATATAGGGTTGGGAGTGAGAGAGGGCGGCCGGACGAGGGGGAAACGAGCGCGGAAGATCCGGCCGCCATTGATGGCGCCGGCGAGGTTAGGGGAGAGGTTTCCAAACGAATCCGAGGGAGAGAGGGAGGGAAAAATGGGGGGAAAGGGGGAGGGGATCCCGGGGAATAATTCCCCCCACTTTAATGCACGCGGGGATGGCGGGATGCGGCGGAATCGGCGGCGGCGGCGGCGCATGGCGCGGGCGGGGCGGCGGGAGCGGCGGGAGGAAGGGGATGATGGGTGGGCCCCACCCGTCAGCGAGGGTGGCGGGCGGGCCCGCCCGTCAGCGGCGCGCGTGCGGGGAGAGGCTGGATGGGCCGCGGGGAGAGGAGAGAGAGGGGGAGGGAGCTGGGCCGGGCCGGCCCAAGAGGGAGAGGGGGAGGGAAAGGGAACTTTTAGGGTTTTTCTTTTTATAAAACCTTTTTAACTTTGTTTATTTCTTCTTAATTATTATTTGTGCTCTAAAAATTCCACTAAAATTTATTTACGCATTTTAGGCTTTTAGGAAATATACAAAAATCCTCCAAGCCCTATTTGATTTTTAACTTTGCACATTTTAATTTTTGAAGGCTTTCACATGGATTTTAATTATTCTAGGCATAATTTAGAGGATGTATTTTAGAGTCGTTTTGGGACGCGACAGATTCCCATGAGACAGTGCCTCTCCTTGTCTTGAGCGGTTGAGAGACAGAACAACAATTAGAACACTAATCACCCAATCTTTATTCAACTTTTATTCCGGAGGTTTTCAAATGATTTTGCAAAAGAAATCCAAGTTCCTCAAATGATTCACTTGATCTCTCCAAGTGTATTAATAAGAATTCCTCACCAGTTTGCCTTTTTATTCCTATTCTAAGGTTGATATGTGGAGTTTGGTAGGGATCAAATATGGCATACTTGCATTCACATTTATTACTAAGTCAAAAACTTAAACTAAAATAGATGACTAAACATACTCAAGATCAAGATCGTGCAAAGTGTGTGTGTGATATATGGTGGAAATGAAATGTGGAAAATAAAGAAAATGCTTCTCTTTTGTGCTTTCTTCCTTCTCCAAAATCCTTCTTTTATAATTAAGGAGAAGGCATGGCTATACATTATTCTCTTCTTTTCTTTTTTTCAACATCATGCTCATGCTTAAGAGAGCATGACTTTATTATTTTCATAACCATGCCGTTCGCGGAAGAACCAGGAACGGTGCACTGCTCTGAGTTGAGTTATGTGAGGGGTCTTGTCACAACTACACAAATGGTGACATGTTCAGTATGGGCACATGATGACATGGTGACATATTATGGAGTTGTGTCTTGTGGGTAAATTTGTGCACCTCTGGCCACAGTAAAACTATTCGAATAGCCGTGCCCGCGGTTATGGGTGGGTCTAACAATGTTTTTCGTGATTAGTTCAACACTACTCATTAATAATAATAATGTGATAATTAATGATAGTTAATTTAACTCCTGGTTTGGAATGATTAATTCCTAGTTTAGAGGTTTGATCTGTATGACCGGGGTTGGCTGTTCAGGTTTGGTTGAGCCTGGGGAGCATTGGAGTGTTGTTTACTGTTGATTAATATTGATAATTAATTACTCTATGGTTTTATAGTTCTTAAATGTTTCGCTAAATGCTGCTTTTGCATATGAGCTCTATTATGCTATTCTTTTGTATCCCCGTGCTTTTGCATATTTGTTTTGTGGCTTGCGGAGTATTCATGTACTCACCTTGCAATAATCAATCAAACCTCAGTTGAAAAAACGTTGCGAAGGATAAGACGTTTGGCTTATATCCCAGTTGAGCTGCCCGTGGGAGTGGATCTGAAGCTTCGCTAGATTTATTTTTCCGCTGCAGTTTTCTTTGTGGTGAGGACTAATTGTCTCTTATGTAAGTATTTATCGCTTTAGTTATTTTGATGAATCTGTATATTAAATTGTCAGGTGTATACCTCGGTTGATTTCTGAATGAGGATTTTATGCACAAATTAGTTCGAAAATTACTAGTGAATTACTGGGCGTGACAATATCCACCTATTTGTTGCATATCAACAAAATGAGTATAAGAAAATTTCAAAAAAAAATTGACAAGATAGATTCATATGTAATATGTCACCCCACAAACATGCAAGATTTCTACAAGTTGTAACAAATCAATCTCTGATTAATGTATGCATATTCATAGTTAAATTTATTATTTTTGTTCTAACTTATAAAAGTTGAATTTGAACTTGCATTTGTATATTATATATCAATATTTCTTGTCAACTTTTTTGAGATTTTTTATGATTATTTAGTTAACATGCAATAAATTGGTGAATATCCACCCGAGTAATTAAAACCCATCTCCGTCGTAGGCTCGGAGCCTGCAGCTAGCGGAGAAGACCAAGGCCGCTCGGACGAGGAGGAAGAGAGGCAGCAACTGCCGGCTAGCTTATGGTTAAAAAAATGAAAGAATGCATTATATTCAAGGCGGCTTAACTGTAGGAATATTCGGTTTGATCAAGCGCACAGGGATGAATGGCCGGAAGACTCTCGTGAATGTTATCTCATATCAAAATATAATATATATAGCACTTGCGAGTACATGTGAATGAACGAACTGCGATATAAATGTACTGTAATCAGTCTCCAAGTATAGGAGTACATATAATTGATTTGAGAACTTAATCGATTATCAAAAAAAAAACTTGGAATGGACGCATGCAGTATTTGTCTGCAATATGATGAGTGATGACGACCATGTTCCCTGTCGTACGTAGTAGTAGGTCAATTAATTAATTAGCGTTTTGGCGGCGGAGGCGGAGGGAGGACGTAGTATTGGGCGAGTGTCTCTGCGCAATCCATGAGCGCCCAGATGGCATGAAACTTGTCGGCGATGGCGGCCTCATCGGCGGTGGAAGTCTTGTCGGGGCAGCCGCTCTTGCATAGTGGGGGAGCGGCGCCCGATTCGAACTTGTTGCGGAGGAAGCTCTGGACTTTCGGGTACCTCTCGACATCGATATCCGCGGGGAGCCCGGACATGGCCTTGGACACGTCGTCGAGGCTGGCGGCGCAGGATGCGAGACACTTGGGGAGCTCATCACCGCCCTTCTTTGCGGCGGCGGCGGCGAGCAACGGATCGGCCAGGGCCTTGGCCTCGGCGCTCCGGTTGGCTATGACGTGAGAGAGCAGCAAGGCTAAATCAACCTGGCCGGAGAGCTTGAATTTTAGATCCGGGATGGTGGCCATCACCCTCCTACATGGCCTGTGCTCCCTCGCATACATGCAGATTTCGTAGTAGAGGTCCGGAAGTTCCGAGTCCTCCACACGGTACCGAATGTTCTGATCCTCCTCCAACACCCGGCCGTGCTCGGAGGCTGCCGCAGCAGAGACGAATACTGCAGCAAGGAAGACAAGGAAAAAGAACAACGTAGAGCAATTAGGCGTGAATGAAGCCATGGTCGTTAATTAGAATCAAGCTGTTTTCCTCTACGCCACGATATCTCTGCATGGTATTTATATATCTATATATATTAGTATAACAAGTGACCTCCTTAATTAGGCTCTGTCTAACCGGAGGACTTCACAAGTATGGCTGCGAATACCCTCCCTACATTCTTTTTCCTTGTTTAGAGTTCTCTATTTATACAATGGTACACAGCTATGGCGCCCATTAATTAATGGAAACTGACTGTTTTTTCTTCAGACCACAACCCACAATGCTGAATCATCGTTGTGAATATATGTTATCAATATGGGATTTCACCAATTAGTAATACTAGTCATCAGCCCGTGCATTGCACGGGCTTTTATATGGGGGCATATTCTTTTATATATATAGTAAATATTTAATTGTAGGCTAAATATGTTGGTTATTTTCTAAATTACCTACTCAAGGTAAACATAATTTTACAATTATTAATTCGAAATTAAATTAACAAATATTACAACCATCGTCCATAAAATCTGAATTTGCTTCTTTCATTAGAGAATTAGCTTGTCGGTAGATTGAGAATAGGCCAGGCGCCGGGATATAGCAAAGCAGCTTAGCCATCTAGCTAACGCCTGGCGACATCAATCAATACTAGCCGTACATAAGTCGCGTCTTGCACGACTCTATTAATACCTGTCTGAGAAGTGTGTTTTATGTGTCGGGCATAGGTGCCCAATTATCAAGTTTTTCTTGGCAGATAGAACTGAACTTTAATTAAAAGTTTAATCCGGAAAAAAGCCAAACAATATAAACCACCAATGACAGACGGGAGTAAATTATTATATGATAAAGTAATAATGTGTTCTTGCTTTCACGAAAATCAACACTTGAAAACTTGACCAATAAATGAACTAAAAATATCCGTGCTTAGTGTTATGCATGCATGTAGTATTATTATATTAGATTTTAAAATATTTTCTTATGATGTGGATTTAATTCTTTGTTCTTGATAATATTATGAAAGAAAACAACAATCAAAATATAATGTTAAAGACCATGTAGAAACAATAATACTAAATATATTTTTTAGAACGAAGGGGATATTTACTTACCAAAATTGTATGAAAGATATTTGCATATGCATGTAAAACATGCATCCTTTCCATTTTTACCCTATAACCAGAGTATTTCAACGCACTATCCTCACGCTGGCAGGAGGACTGGAGGACTGGAACGACGAGGGAGACTTTGCGAACCCTCGTAGAGCCCTGTGAAAACTCTTTCCTTTTACTCTACTTTTACCGAGTCTCTTTTACTTACTACCCTTTGATTTGGAGGAAACATAGGAATTTTAAAGAATTTCATAGAACTATTATTGGGAGCGCTGCGCGCTCCTATATTCCAAGCGCCAAACGTGTATCAGCCAGGCCCACCTCACCCCATGTTCGATCATCCCACTCCCACTCCCACCGTTATCGGAGTAACAATTTACTTCGATAAAATCAACTTCTCTGGTTACGATCCGCACTTTCCGTCATCCCACTCCTACCGTTATCGGAGTAAACGATTTACTTCGATAATAAAAACAACTTCCCTTTCGATCCCACCCCACGTCCCACATCGTGCTCCCACCATTAATGGAATATATAGCAGAAATAGAGTAGTTTTTATCGGAGTAAATCATTGGAAAAAATGATTTACTCCGATAAAAACTACTCTATTTCTGCTATTATTCTATTTTTCCCGTACCCAACCAACCACTCTCGCCCCCACTTCATTTTTTCCTTTTTTTTTCTAGATTTGAATCGATCCACCATCCCAGCCCACAGATCGGCGACGCACCATGGAGGAGGACAACGACACCGTGGCGGTTGATGGCGGTGGCCGGCGAGCAGTGGCCGGCGGCGCTTGAGGCGAAGGCACTGCTTTAGGCCTCGCTGCCGCAGCATCTGCTTCAGATCGATGCTGAAGAGACGTCTGGCCCATGGCGAACAAGGTGGACGTCATGGGGACGGTGAGTTCTCTCAGCAATTCCTAATGAGATTCTTGATTTCTCGCAAGAATTGTATACAATCTATGATTAATTAAATTCTATATCCTTCTTGATTCTATGCAGTCTGACTTCGATTGGGTTGAGCACTCAGCTTGGCGTGCTTCTCTATTCTCCCTTGCATGGCGGAGATCATGTTTGTGATGGTCAATCGATTTGGTAACATCGGCAAGAAACTGTGATTTGTTTCATCACCTCTGTCGTTGCCCAGTTTATGACAGTGAGGCGGTGACAACGGCAACGGCGACCTCCATCTTTAGCTCCGTCGCCGGATCCGGCTCCTACCGAGGTCGTAGAGGCCAGACTTGGTGCTGCCTCGGCTCCAGCCTGCATCTCTACCGCTTTGTCTTCTTGCTCTCACTACCAGGACAAAAACTCCATTCAGCCGTCACGAGGAACTGGCGATGGCGTGTATTGATGTGTTTGTGTGTAAAATTTTTATTCTTGTGCTTTTACTATGATGTGCATGTAAAATCTTTATTTTTTGTCCCGTGATTTAGGATGGAGTGATTCAATGTATAAGTAAAAAATTGATTCACGTGTTATTTGGGGCAAACTAATTAGGCCCCAGTAACTCCCTCCTTATTTATTTTTCCTTTTTTTCTTGCTTGATGCACTCACTATAAGAAATCATCAACCAAGGCTGGCAATAATGCAATTACTACAAGTTAATGCACCATCAATTTTCATTTACATCGACAGTAATACGAATACTACATGATTTGATCAACCAATGTTATTCATAATCCAACTACTACAAGCACATGCACATTTATGTCAACAGTAACTCGATTACTACAAGATTTTACCAAGCATGGTTGTCGTTAATCCAATTACTGCAGGTACATGCACCATCAATTTTTATTTATATCAACGGTTATTCGTTTACTACAAGATTTGGTCTCAGTTTGTTGCACACCATATCGTAACTACCTCGATTGGAAACAGAGATAAACCAATTACAACGATTATTTTCATCCGACCACCAATTTTACGGATCTGTAATTGATTTACCCCGAATTCAAATAGAACTAATCTACACAGATCGAACGTGGCAACCGAACACCAGTTTCTGTGGACTCTGGACATGATGTGCGGTGCTCGAAACAATATTCCGTGCTCTTGCGCTCGGAATAGCGCTATCTTTAAACAAAGGATTAAATTCTATCATATCCTTTAAAATGCTTCTGAAATGGACAAACGTATAGAGAATTTGGAGACAATTTAGTAAGTGCTTTAACATCTTAGAAATTATCCTTTGAATGAATCTTTATCTCTCGTCTGATTCCTGCGGTCCAATCAAATAATGGTCATTCCTGTGTTTAGCAATCGTCTGTTTTGCACTTACATTCCTATCAGAATCTTGTGTTTTTTTATTCCTTTGTTTTTCCATTCCTGCGATTCAAAGGAGCTCTTAGATTCATTCTTGATTTAATAGTTGGGATTAAATCTGTCTTAGATCTGACGGCTTATAATTGCGTATTGGCGTGGTGCATTCTAGTGGTAAGAAGTATTATCTTTTCACTACTTTTAGATATCTTGTGGCTAGGCAAATGATCACACTACACCATATCCTCACCCCTTTGACTGCATACCTGTGATGGGCATAAGTGTTGGTCAGTGATGAGGGTTACCTTTGACGGGTTCTACGGGATGCCGTCATTAGTGAGCCATCCGGCTATAGCCCGTCACAGGTATCTACTCACTTGTGAATGCAACCCGTTTACGGTCGAGAATGCAACCCGTCAGAGCTGTGACGGGTTGCATTCTCAACCCGTCACAGGTGATTAGATACCTGTGATGGGCCATACAGATTGTGGACCCCCGTTTTCATAACAGGAATCAATTGTGTAAATAGTACCATTTCCCTGGATCAAGTAGTCTGGTACACACGAGTTCATAGCAGAAATACCAAGTGCACATACACGAGATTCTAGTGTGAATTATTACATCATAGGCCCGCAGGCATAGTCATAGAACATAGGACCGAATGGTCCGGAATACATTCCAAAAGCAGAAGTAGATAAGGCAGCGGAGCTAAGGCAGCGGCACACCATTGCCACAGGCAACGACCGTAACTAAGACCTACTGAGCGCCATCGTCTTCATCACCCTCCTGGTAGTAAGCGTAGGGATCCTCCGAAGCTTCATCTCCAACCTCTGATTAAGTTTGTATATTGCAAGGGTGAGTACCAACCGTACTCAGCAAGCCAACACAACAACAATGTACATGATAGCGGGTATTCAAGGAATGGCTATGGTTCTTTTGCGCAAAGCAAGTTTTGTAATTCTTTTCACAAGCCTAAAACCTAGCATAGACTGATCAAATTTTAGTACCAGTGTTCACATTAAACAACGACGGTTCTGTCCACCATCCATTGTGATCCCAAGGATAGCTTCCCGCCATTGAGTCGTCATGGTTTTCTGAGGACGTCCACCTTCCCTCCCACACAAGTTAAGAATTTTGAGTCTAGCCAAGTGTAATACACGTCCCGGTGCTCAATAACCGCAAGCATGGCTATTCGAATAGATTTGGTTTACTCACACTGCAGTGGATGTACACTTTACCCGTACTCCGCGACTGCCCAACACATGAGCCTCGTCCCAACACATGAGACGCGTCACGGCAAAGCTTTTCGATAACCTCGCATTGGCAGTACCCACTCCATGAACTTAAATCCTCATGCACTCTAGGCGTCCATGTTTCTAGCAGTGAGAGGAGTTCTGGCACTCCTGGGAAAGAGACATCTCACACACATATTAAATTATGGTTCAAGTTAAGTTCTCTCTCACACACACTTATGGCAGTCCTACCAATAGCGACACCGATGTAGGAGCACGCCACGTGGCCCTACCTCAACGGCTGCCCCACGGTAGCGCACATGCCTCACTTAGGGGTGAACCATCTATGCAGGGATACTGCCTCTGCTCGGCTATCTAATCCGCTAGGTCTATACCCATTCGAGATGTACGATTGTACGGGGGTCGTTTCATGCTTAACTTCATGGCTCGGTCCTTAATTGACCGGGGA